GTCCTGCCTCCACGTCACTAATTTACTTAAAATTATCATACGAAAAGACAGCTACTAACACTAATAAACGTAATCAATGTGATGCCCCAGAGAAATTTAATTTAAGACACCAGAACCTTCTCTTTAGCCCCCCAGTGGCACAGCGGTACGTCTGTGGACTTACAACCCTAGAATCCGGGTTTCGATACCCGTGGTGGGCAGAGCACAGATAGCCCATCGTATAGCTTTGTGCGTAACTTCAAACAACACCTTCTCTTTACCCTACGTTCCCGGTCTTTCTTACGCTCTCAAGATGTTATGTTTTTGTAAAACACACAATATTAATATAAAGAGTAATTCACACTTTATTCTTGGTAAAAACTAATCAGTTTGCTGTTAGAGCAAAGCCACATTGGGCTATCTGCTATGTCCACCGCGGAGAATCGAACCCCGGATTTTAGCACCATAATTCCGTAAAATTACCGCTGTATCATCGAGGGAGAAAACTAGTTAGTATTCTGTCAAATAAATTCCAAGACAATCATATTAATAATGTTGATTATGAATACAAATGTCAGAACTGTGCAGCTAGCTACATGGGTGAAAAAGAGAGAAAACTCAACATTCGCTTAAACGAGCCCAATCATGCACCATCTATCATCCATCAACATGAACAATATTCTGGTCAAACCTTCTCCCACTTATTTTACATATATTATAAGAAAACCAGCAATTTTAAAAGAAAAATCGAGGAAGCTTTAATAATAAGTAATAAAAAAACACCACCACCATCTTTTAGCAAATATTCTGGTTCCCCACTATGTATATTCGCAAACTATACGTAGTCTTCCTGCTGTATTCACATCTGCACGTTCCATCACGCAAGGTGTACGTCATCTTCCTGCTTTATGATTGGTTCACTTAAAGTTTAATATTTTCAAATGTAATTCTATAACATTTATGTGTACGTTGTACCCAATGGCAACAACAAATTTATCAAAATGTTCTAATTTGCTTTTCATCTTCTCGTAGTCCCCCCTATAAGTCAACGATACATTTAAGAACTTACAACGTTAAAACCTTGCGTTCGATTCCCCGTCGTGGACAGAACGCAGAGAGTATATTGTCTAGCTTTGCGCTAAAAAAAACAAATCGTTTTCCATTTTATAAACATGGAATGCAATGCATTTATCGTGGAATAAGAAATACAGTATTAAAACCATTTTGTGAAAATACAGAATTGATATCTGTAAACTGGTAATAAATCATCCTAAAACCAAGTTTAATACACCAGTAATGTCATGAACTTTTCCTGACAAGAAGCCAACTTTATAGAAGATGACATGAAAAGTGATTACTTATTTAATACTCTATGAACATATTTGTTAACTTTGTGTTAGTCTGTAGGTGCTGCCATCTGTAGTCTTCCAATCTGCATGTTCCCAGTGGAGAGCATAGGAGGGCTACCACCATGGGCGTGGCTAGATACCAAAAACATACGGGGCACGGGTCCTGTGCCCAGTTACGCTTATATCATGGGAAGTCAAAGTTCGCGACATTGTCTTCCCACGACTTACTTTGAGATAACCCATTTTAATTTCAAAGCTATTTTATAGAATTCACGTTTCGTCAGATTTTAATGAAGGCCGTTTCAAATCTTTATATTTCATCTTTAAGGAATGAACTTTGTATTATAACTTTCTATTACTAAACAGTGCAAGACGCTTTCTTTTTTTGAGTCGAACATTCTCTAATTAACAATGACCTACCTTTACTAAGCAATAACATAGACCTTTTAACTATTAATAGGAATTATTGTTACAAAATCCGTTAGGTATCTGTTTGTTGCTGATATTTAATCATTTTACACTTCTCCTTGTAGGTGATGTTCAGCTATTTATGTTGGCACCTATAAATCGACATTAATAATCTGTAATATATTTTTTTTTCTATTAACGCAGTTTTGTTAGTGAACTAAACGTGAAAATATAAGACAGAGGAAAGCCTAATCTTTTTGTGTCGTTTGTTACTTTGTGTAAATTGGTTGTATAATAATTACATGAAATACAAATTGTATTTAATCACGTGTAATTTAAGGATAACAACAGACCCAGTCGTGCATTAAGGCACTATACTAAACTCTACCCAGTAGTGCATTAAGGCACTATACTAAACTCTAAAATAAAACACACAAAGCTAGTCTTTATCATTCAAATACTTATCAAGACTTCATATAAATTTACTGCATCCACTACATCTGAAGGCAACCTATTCCGAAGGCCAACCATCCTGTGAGAAAAATAAAGCTGCCTTGGCCGAAGACGACTCCTACCCTGTCAAAATCTATATTTGTGTCCCCTAGTTTTACCATTTTCACTCTTAAATACAAAAAAAAAAAAAAAGATGATGCATCAACACTTATAAATTCCTTTTACAATCTTAAACACCTCAGTCAGGCACCTCTAATTCTTCTTATTTAATAGAAAACAATTTCAGAGAACTAAACCTATCCTCAAAGGACAACCTTCAATCTCAAGTATCATCCTATATTCCTCCTGACTTTCTAACAATTCAATGTTCTTTTTAAGGTAAGGAGCTCAAGAATGAGCTCCAAATGTGGCCTACAATGAAATTATAACCTTATTAGACTTGTATTGAATATTTCTGTAGATACAACCTAAAAAATCCTATCTACTCTGCCATCTTATATGATATACTGGAATTAATTTTAGATTATCTTGTTTAGTTGAAGTTGAGTGAATAAGTTGCTTTGTTTGCTTCTCCAGTGTTCTAGTTCTCAATAAATATAATAAAGCCTTCTGTTCTGTATTCTGAATAAATGTATTTGTTGTGATTTTTGTAAGATAAGTAACCACTATAATTTTTTTAAAACAGCATAATATTTTTAACAAATTTTTTAATTGACTTTTCACTATCATATGTACTCATTTGGTTAATTTTAAAATCTATAAACAATTAAAGGTTATAAACCTTCGTATCAAGAAATAGAAAAATCATCCTTCACAGAATGGGCAAATGTTACTGTCATATTCCTTCAAACAAAAGTATTCACAAAAAAAATTATACTTTTAAATTTACAAAAATTAAATAACAATAAAATACTGTACTTCACTCTAAACAAACTGCAGTCAATTCTATTAAGTTAACACAAATTTTAAGATGTTAACAACGATACTTAGGCCTTTTCATATCTTCATAATGTGCATTTATATTATATTATGAATCAACAACAAGAACTCCACCAGTCTTAAACCAAGTTACCAGATGTGATATGATACAGTTCATCTCCATTGTTAATGAATGGTAATTATATAATAAAGCTGAAATGGTAACATGGCAAAACATTTGTTTATATTTTAAACTGCTAATATATGAGCTTGATAATAGGTCTTCTTCAAGTTGACAATTTTTAATGTGTGAATATTATAAGCTAAAGATTCATAACAACTACTTTCATGGCTATAATTAATTAAAGTAACAATCTTTTATGAAATTACTATTTCTAAAACTCTGGAAAAAACAAAACAATGTATTATTATTCTCTGCATATACCACAAAACCATCAACACTTTATTTTATAACATGTGTTTTTGTTTGTCATCTTGCATGTTAGGGATATTTACTATATTCACTATAAATCATTTTAATAAAGAAAAACACTGTTCTGTGAAAGGTAATGTACACTCTTATAACTCAATACATATATTAACAATATACTTTTTCAACTATTTCACATATTTACCTATTAACTAACTTTATATTAGTTACAAAACTACCTTGAATATACTATATAACAAATGCATCTAATTTATTTCTTCATAGAACAAAACACTAATTTTTTTTCTTCCTTCAACTAAAACTACAATGTTCTATTAAAATCAGTATTTCTAGATATTTTAGTCTTTGTTTTATTCAGTAAGTGACAAAATAATAACCATATACTGTATATATATATATATATGTAAACTGATAAATATTATTTATCAGTAGCTAAGAAATATATATTATCAGAAAGAAAAGTTATAAAATCAATAAATCCAATTTTAGATAGACTGATTAGAAGTACATTGTTATAAATCAATATGCCAGAAGTTGTTAAACGAATCAAAATGAAATGAATCATTTGGTTATCCTTTTAATATTTTCAGCTACAACCAAAATTTTAGTAAATAACTCACTTTCAAAAACACTAATAAGCTAATTTTTTCTTATAACCTACAAACATCATATTGTAGAAAATTAACTTGAATTTGTATGTTGTTTTTCTTTTTGCATACGTTCACAGAAACCAGGAGAATAATGTGTAACCTAGCATTTTTTGGTTACCTGTTGTATAAAAGTTCAAAGTTAAAAATCAAACTGAATTTCATAATTGAAATATAACTAATAATATAAAGTAAATAAATGGAAAACCATAAATGACATCATTCAAACCATTTTCTTAAATTAAACCTTTAACTGGATAAAAGTAATTAATTATTCTAAAAGAATCCTTCACCTTACTAGCAGCTAAAACAAAAAATTTTCCACTGAAAGTTTTTAACATACTGTAAAGACTAAGAAAGTACTCATATTATATGTTGGTATAAGAAAAATGTTTTGACTAAAACACTCCTTGAGGAAAAAGTTTACAAGTGCAATAGTTTTATTTTCCACACAGATGTGAGTATCTAAGTGAAACATTTTTATACTTGAATATCTAGCAGTCACCGATATTAAAAAAATAATCTTTCCACTCTCACTAGCAAGATCAAATACTCATACATGGAGTTTCAGACACTTATTGAAAAATATTAACAAGAAAAAGATATTCTAATTGCTCTGATCCTTAGTAAATAAAAAAATGTATTTCTAAATTTCACCAGATTTCATACTTTAAGGTATATTTAGAAACAATTTACAGACATTATGCATCACTAGAATTGGCCAAGCTGTCTGAAGATTCCATCCTGTTGTAATATTTGTCTTCTGGAAATAAACAGTAATGTTGTACAATGAATAATATATCAAACAAAATTGAAATAAATCCCAATCCAAATTTTGTAAAATTTCCAAACACTGATATCCAGTCATCAAAATTATAGGCAATCAAAAACATCTGAAGAATACTCAGAAACCCTCCAGTGAAGTCTAACAGGATATTCCCAATACTCCAGCCAGAAGTGGAACGACGTTTACAGTTAAAGTAAGCCTGCGGAATGTATTTGGTTAAAGTAATGGCCAGTTTTACATAAGACAAGTAGTAGAGCAAAGAAAGCCAAGGATGTTTGTGAATTCCTCCTGCAAAGATTACAATCAAGAATATGGCAGCTCCAAGAAATAAACAAGAGAGAAAAATGCATGCAATACGAGAAACCCTCTGTTCACCTCTTTCATACAAAAGTATCTGAATGACAGTAATTATTGTGGCACAAGTTGCATGGACAGCGAAGACAATATCATTTAATTCAACTGGGATAATACTTGTTGGAAATAAATTAAAATACTCACACTTCACAGAATACACATATTTAAAACATAAGTTATAAACAGAATAGCAGAAAAATCCTGTTAGATTTAATACAACAAAATCAAAATTCAGTCCAACAACACTTTTTCGTTTCCAGTTCATGTATATTTGTGGATAAAATGAGATAGACCAGGCAACAAAGTATATCCAACCAATAACAGAGCATAATATTATCAAACCCTCGTTCCTGTAAACATTCACTCTCACAAAGGCTTCTGAATCCATGAAGTCGTTCGGTGTAACGTTGACTCGAACAGTTGTATGCCCTGCTTCTCTCGCTGTCACATTGTAACTCAAAGATGAGTTGGAATTTTCAGGAATAGTCCAATCATTAGGTAAGCAATTAATAACATTCCCATGTTCATACCAAAAACTGACTGCCACATCAACGTTAACTGGTTTGCTGAGGTAAACAGAAAAACATCCGAAATAATCCTTGCTGAAAGCGAGATCGTGAGGTGAAACTTCTATTTGCTGCGCAGACACTTTACTAATATTAATAAATAACTGCAGCAACGTTACCAATCCAAATATCATAGAAAATATGTTTACAGAACCTTGCTTAAAGTTAAATAAAGTTCTAAATCCAGTGCGGTAGAAAGAATCTGCAATAACATTAGTATTGCTAGTAATATTATTAAGATTACTCAATTTCGACATTTTTTTTGAAGTCGTAGGCATACTAGTAGTATTACTACTTGTAATATTAACTTTTCACGTTATGAGACGCCGTTTTAACTTTTAAAACTGAAGTAACAGTTAGGCCTCCGACCAAAAAAGTTTATTCGGGATCTATTAGAACTTAAGTTAAATCGAAAGACATAAGCCCTAAACCAAAATTACATATATATTACCGTAATTATTTCATCTATTCAATAATACAGTCAAGTCTCGTGATCGATTCTGTAGTTTCTGTTTCCTGCTTCAGAGGGAAGCACATGTCGCCTTTCGTTTTTACTGAATTTTAGCTAATATATTTAATTAAATAATATCGAACTGAAACAACAACAGCTACCACTTTTTGTTTTATTTCATTCACAAATCACAGGACTAAACACAATCATAAATTTTTTATTCAAAAATATCGCATACACATTAATCGAATATGCTTTATTAACTCAACAGCAACACCATAAAGGATAGAAAATACTAAATCAAAATTCTACAAAACTGTACTGACATCAGTAATGTGTTTCAATTATTTGTTTATCTTTCCAATACTTTTCTAGTCTTCATATAGTATTACAATAAACAGACATTGTAAGATAAAGAATTATACTTTTATTCTGTTATTGTTTTGTTTACCATTCATTAATTATTCCTTTTATCGTTTTGTTTAATTATGAATTTTTAGTTATATTAAAACACCAACTCGCCTTCTATCTAGTAGAGCCCGTTGATGTTGAGTATGTAAGTATTATGAAACTGACACAAGCTCCCCTAGCGGTGGCATACGGATATTACTCTTGTGAAAAATTATGTAAATTAGCTAGTCACATAAGCTGTAATTTCGTGGTCTAACCACTTAATAAAATGCTTTCCTTGGTCTTGAAAACGAGTTAGTTCACGAGATATAATTAGAAAGAATTATTGCTAATTATTGATCCATATTTTTGTTATAGTGAGAAGTGGTTTAATTTTGAAACATTATGTTATTCTCTGGTGAATTAGTTTTTTTTTTCTGGTTCTTTCTTCTAATTTCTTTTATATTTATTGAAGTTAATCACTTTGAGATGTATGTTATATTGTTTATTAACGTTTGGATCTAGTCCTGGCCAGGCACGGTTTATTAATTATTTTTTATAAGTGAAAAATTTGTATTCTAGTTGTTTGAGAGTTATAGTTTGGATTTCTTCTGTTTTATGTTAATAAATTGTGTTTTTGACCCTGATTGTAGCCGCGTTTTGTTTAGTTCATTACAAAATGAATTAATTTATAGGATTTAGTTATTTTTGTTTTTATGCAGGTGAAGTTTGTTTCTGGTATTTGTTCAAAGCTACACAAGGATTATCTGCCCTAGACATCCATAATTTATAACTCCTAATATAGAACGATACTTTAAGTTTTCTACTCCCTTAGTTAATATGTATTTTTTCGAAATTTGTTTTTCTTTCAGTTCAGTTTGATCACCGAAAGTCGCTCAAGTAAACACATCTAACTAACTTTTCCTTATTCTGGATCTGCCCTCGACCTTCAAGGAAATATAACTCTAGTATATAAGGATGACCTTTGTTGTTGTTGTTGTTGTTGTCGCCGAATCGAGTACTGGCCCGGGATTTCCCTGTCCTTATATTAGCCTTTTAGTGGACTAAAGTCACGCCTTCTCTTTAAGAAGTAACATGTACAACTTGGCTTTGTGTGATGTTATTGTGTTTTGTACTAAAATCCAAGTTCTCCACTGTTTAGCAGACTTTTGTGTAACTTAACTTTTAGCAGGCTAAACGTTTTTGCTGAGAGTAATTGAGATTTTTCTTTGTTTTAGATTTTTTGTCAAGATTTAAATTTTGCTGAGTTTTAATTTAACTTTTAGCAACTTTTCTATTTTTCTTTTGTTTATTTTTTATTTCCTTATTTTTTTAGTTAATTTTAATTTTGTAACTTTGTTTTAGTTTAAGTAGGGCAGGAGGACACACTGAACTGACGAGAGAGAGATCTCACAAAGGTTTCACTTCCCACCACTGTTTCACCAGTCCAACATATTCACACACAGACCACACACTTATTCCACTTATATTTCGTCTTGTGTTTTAGTTGCATGTTAATAAATATTGTTATAATCATCCTTTTGCGTTTCTCCTCTTTCCTCACGATGAACTCAGAGTTCAGAGATATAGAGACACAAACACCATAAGTCGATATCCTTCCAACCTTCATTTACCATATCCAAACTGACTAATTTGTGTCGTATGTGTCAGATCAGATGACATTCAGATTGAATATATGTAATAACACCATCTTTAAGAGTATTCGTACCATATACACAGTACAGATCATTGATCAATATCCACTTCAGAATATGTGATAATAGATCTTTTCTAGACTTATGTCAACTGATTAGTGAGTATCGAAAAAGCTTTATATAGAAATTCACATCGAGAAACAGTGAAATAGGATCAGTATTAGTTCCGAATGACAAAGGTGACCTCCAGGAAATTAAAAATCTGGAAAACTTTTATGATTTCAAATTTCTTAACTCCAGTATCGTGAATAGAAAATTACTTAAATCGTTATCTATTATTACGTAAACAAAAATGCAAGGACAAATTGAGGATCCTTTATCAATGCGTCTGTTGTTTAGACAATAAAAATAACGATAAAAGTGGTTTTATAACAGGGCTACTCTGGTCCAAAGGATGATTATCTTCAGCCCCTATCTATTCTTTAATTAAAGAATTAACACTAAAGGTAAAAAACAAATAAAATATACATTTTATGATTGAATCACAACTGTTATTCAGAATATATTCGAAACTAATGTCTAGTTTTATTGATGAAATAAACTCTCTATAACATTTCAAGACGATTGTAACAGACCGTATCTCCACTTTCCAAATCGAAAAGCAAACATATAACTGAGCGATGTGTGGTAAATCGGATATCAGATATTGCTTCACATTTACTTTTCTAAAATTTAATCAGATTAACTGCTAAATAATCCACAATGACAGATTGGTAGTATCAATATTATCTAATTCTAAAATTTTATACAAATATAGGATCACTGTGTGAGTCAAAGACGTCTGAAAATACCACACATATGATGTAATAAATATGATATGAAGCCTAATCTTATTCATTTGCCTCCCTGTGGCACAGCGGTATGTTTTCGGACTTACAACACTAGAAACCGGGTTTCGATACCCATGGTGGACAGATTACAGATAGCCCATTGTGTAACTTTGTGCTTAATTACAAACAAACAAACTTATTTATTTGAAATTTTGGCTCCATGGCTTGATCTTTAAACTGCGTTTTTTTTTTCGGCCCTTACCATACGTTCGTTTGATTTATAAATATGTTAAAAGTATTTTTAAAAACTGATAGCTAAGCTTTCGAAGTAATTTAGCACAGGCTGTTTTTTTCAAACTGTTATTTGTGACAGTTGTGAGTTCCAGAAAGTGTGTTTTTATGTATAAATTACTGAAATTAAAGTTTAATATAAGACTTGGGTAAGTTATATCCCTAATCCTCCTCTTATACAGATAGTTTTGTCTGTTAATGTGCATTTCTGTTTTTATGCGTGTGTCGAGTTTAATTTTTCGTGGTTCTAGGCTTGATGCCCTAGACAAGCCTTAATACTTTAGAACCACTGGTGCGCTATAAGAGTTATCAGAGTCAATCAGCCAACATCTCCATCGAGTTAAAAGAACTTCAGTCTTCATTTTGGCCATCAAGTGGGCTGAAGAGAATCAGAAGTTTCTGGTTATTTCTGGTTATTATTCGGGGCATTAAAGATACTTAACCAATATAACCATCACGGATTGGACGGTTTCATTCTGTGCCTCATAATGCCTTTACTGGCGAAACCATGGTCGTGAATAAATTATATATTTGTGAAACGTAAAATTGTCTTGTTTTTCCTCAAATCTGTAATTATGGAGTTTCACCAAGTACCGACGGTTTCAAGTATCAATTATATAATTTATACACTTTTTTGAACTAAATATGATGTGATAGTAGGAAACAGCTGTGGCGCATGGAGGTGGCCATGTCTCCATCAGGATCAGAGAGAGTTAAGCCTATTATGCTAACCACAGGCTCGATCTCCCGTGTTTTTAGTCATTTGGTAGTCATGGAACCGGGAGCTCCGCGACATTTAAAATTTTAAACTCGACGGTCATCAATATGTAAATTATCAATAACAGACGCATTACGGTTGGTTCTGCTGTATCAGATAGTAGTCTGTTCCAACAAGTACGACAAGATATTATTTCAGTATTGATATTAGTAAATTCTAAAAAAAAACACATCGTCAGGGCAACAAGACGAGATACGAGTAGCATCACCTACCGCTTTTGACCGTACTCACAGATAGATAATATTTAAATATTTGATAAGCCTTTTCCTCACATTTGGTAAAACATCCTGATTATTGTTCCAACAAAAGAAAGAATACAAAAGACGTACATAGTTTCTATAAATCCCATTTTGAAACAATAGTATCAACAAAAAAAGACTCGCCATTTTCTTATAATGATAGTACTTGATATTGATACTCTACTGTAGTTTACTTTAGGGCTATCGCTACTGTTTTTATCATGCATAAAATGTAAAAGTATTTGACAAATATATGAACTTAAAATTTGAGTTTCAAATGGTATCAAATTACAGGAATACAACCAAGGGACCGTAGTATAAGGGCATTCAAAACTGTATTTGGAGTATCCTAAACCGTAAATTATAAATAAAATTTGTAATAAAGTTTCTTTCATTTCCCATTTAAGTCGTCTTTATTACAACTGGTTAATGATTTAACTGCCCGAACATATGACTTATGATTGTCTAAAAAGATCTAAGAACTATATGGTGAATGGGTATGTAACTGAATAGTTCGACCATTCAGATGTTTTATACGGTGGATTATTTGATACGAATACAGTGCTTCTTTAGAAACTAAGGCAACATTAATCATGTGGGAGACTATAACCCACCGCATGGGGTCTTCATTAGTAGTGTATACGTTACTAATTTACAAAATATTTTAATCATCATCATACCTATTGTGAATTCAAAAACTCCAGCCGTCTCATAGTGTGAATTTAAATGCTTCATTCGCTCCCAAGTGTGAAATTATACATTTCTGTAATTCCATATTGTAAATTAAACATTTCTGTCATTCCATGTTGTGAAATTAATACCTTCTGTCATTCCATGTTGTGAAGTTAATAACTTCTGTCATTGCATATTCT